TATTGACGTATATATTTGTCACCAAAATTATCTATTTGATCCATTAATGATGGAAGGAAGAATAACAAAGGAAATTAGTGGGGGAACCAAAAAATTAAAAACGCAACCATGTCTGAGTTATGTTGTTTTCTTGTCTTCAATAACGAGCAACTGCTTAACTGATTTTCTATTTTTGTTTGTGGCAAGTACTTCACAAATTTTTAATTCATTTCTACCATTTTTTCTACAATGGAAACATCGAAATTAGTGATCATCTTATCCTCATATTTATATAAGAGTTTACCATTTAGAAATATTACTTATATTTTATAAATTAAAAGGGGAATTATGTAAAAACATATGATTTTAGAATCAGAACATTGATAAAAATGATTAGTTCAATGATTCCGATCATTAAAACAACATCATCTTTCAAAACAAATAATATTATCTTATAACTTGTTTTGCTTTAAACAGCTCACTCAATGGAAATAATATGTTGGATGAATAGAAAAGTGTAATTTTTCAAATTAAACAAATAGAAAAATAAACATGCTTAATTTATTATTAATTAAAATATTTTAATAAAAATTCTTGAGAGAATAAAATATTTATTTACACGAGCACTGCATTCTAACATAACCACTATTCCATTTTATATTCAAATAACACTCTGAGCATTATATTTACAAAGATAACACTTTTATTCTAGGTCAGGTAATTCTGAACTTTAATGGATCACATCAATACTGTAGCATCTTCCACATGCTGTTTTATACTGTAGCTTCTCTCACATGCTGCATTGTCCAGTGCACCGACCAAATGACTTTCTTTGTTTCTTATACCAAATATCTTATTCGTTTTTTGGCAACGTCTTCTCGTTCAGGATTTGAAAGTATTACCACTGTGTAACCAAAGTAATGAGTAAGATATCACCTAGTTTTTAAAAGTAATCATTTTTAACTTTTGCTTCTGTTTTTATGATCGATATGAAGGTTTCTATGTTTCTCCATCTAATGTGTTACTCTTTTCGGTGATGGCTTCTTCACTCAAATGTTTTTTATGATGGATGTGAAGGTTTCTATGTTTCTAGGTTTCTATATATTGTTTTGCCCTAGTTTTTGTTCAAATCATTCAAGTTGGTATTTTTTATAATTAGGGTTTCAAATTGTTTTTATGTAAGATCTAAATGTTTGAGCTATTGGTGTTTATGAGGACTAGTGTTTGAAACATTTTTAACTGTATTGATTTGGTTTTTTGTGTAAATCTGAATTTCTTTTCATTCTTCTTGCAAATCTGTTAATGTTTTGGCCAATGCCACGATTTGGTAAGATATGAGGTTTGGCTTTTTTTTAACACATTGAAGTTACACTTTTCTTTTTCAGTTTACAATATTTTCAATAAAAATAGAATTTGAAGGAGTTGGAGGGAGTGTGTTTGTGTTTGTGTTTTCGTGGTTCTTTGTTTTGCCTTTTTTTATGCAATAAATAATCAAATAATTCAAATTCACTATTTTTAATTGAAAATATTGTAAACTGAAAAAGAAAAGTGTAACTTCAATGTGTTAAAAAAAAGCCAAAACACTCATATCTTACCAAATCGTGGCAATTGGCCAAAACATTAACAGATTAGATTTGCAAGAAGATGACAAAGAAGAATTCAGATTACACAAAAAACAAATCAATAAAGTTAAAAAAATGTTTCAAACACTAGTCCTCATAAACACCAATCGCTCAAACATTTAGATCTTACATAAAAACAATTTGAAACCCTAATTATAAAAAAATACCAACTTGAATGATTTGAACAAAAACTAGGGCAAAACAATATATAGAAACCTAGAAACATAGAAACCTTCACATCCATCATAAAAAACATTTGAGGTGAAGAGCCATCACCTAAAAAAAGAGTAACACATTAGATGAAGAAAACATAGAAACCTTCATATCGATCTAAAAACAGAAGCAAACAAGTTAAAAATGATTACTTTTAAGAACTAGAGTTGATATCTTACTCATTACTTTGGTTTACACAGTTGGGGTATATAACTTTCAAATCCTGAACGAAGAAGACGTTGCCACAAAAAACGAAATAAGATATTTGGTATAAGAAACAAAGAAAGTATTTGGTCGGTGCACTGGACAATGCCGCTGTGAGAGAAGTACAGTATCACACAGCATGTGGAAGATGCTACAGTGATTGATGTGATCCATTAAAGTTCAGAATTACCTGACCTAGAATAAAAGTGTTATCTTTGTAAATATAATGCTCAGAGTGTTATTTGAATATAAAATGGAATAGTGGTTATGTTAGAATGCAGTGCTCGTGTAAATAAATATTTTATTCTCTCAAGAATTTTTATTAAAATATTTTAATTAATAATAAATTAAGCATGTTTTATTTTTCTATTTGTTTAATTTGAAAAATTACACTTTTCTATTCATCCAACATATTATTTCCATTGAGTGAGCTGTTTAAAGCAAAACAAGTTATAAGATAATATTATTTGTTTTGAAAGATGATGTTGTTTTAATGATCGGAATCATTGAACTAATCATTTTTATCAATGTTCTGATTCTAAAATCATATGTTTTTACATAATTCCCCTTTTAATTTATAAAATATAAGTAATATTTCTAAATGGTAAACTCTTATATAAAAATGAGGATAAGATGATCACTAATTTCGATGTTTCCATTGTAGAAAAAATGGTAGAAATGAATTAAAAATTTGTGAAGTACTTGCCACAAACAAAAATAGAAAATCAGTTAAGCAGTTGCTCGTTATTGAAGACAAGAAAACAACATAACTCAGACATGGTTGCGTTTTTAATTTTTTGGTTCCCCCACTAATTTCCTTTGTTATTCTTCCTTCCATCATTAATGGATCAAATAGATAATTTTGGTGACAAATATATACGTCAATAATTTGCAAAACAAGAAGAGAGAAGAAGGAGAAAAGAAAAAATGGAAGAAAATGTAATTGACATTACAGGTGTTTAAGATACAAGTGACAAGCATAGAGGTATGGCAGAAGTTGGAAAACGCTTCCTAGAGTATCAACTTATCGTCGATAATCCCAATCCTGTTTGGAAAAGTGAAAACTTATTAAGATTCAATCTTCCACAATTTACCTTTCTATTGCTTTGCATGATCGCTCTCACCCGCATTATACACTACATTCTAAGACCTTTCAATCAACCACATTTCGTTGCTGAATTTCTTGTAAGTGCACTCATTTCTCTATTTTACAAATTTTTAAATACGATTTCTTTCATAAATTCTTTTTTAGGAACAAAATTAATATTGTTTTGTTTCTTTCTTTCCAATACTTTCAATTCTTTTTTTCATAGTTACTTTGTGGGTATTAAAATGTATTATCTTTTATACTTGTTGGTGATTTAGGCAGGTTTACTGGTATGTCCACAACTGGTGGCAGGAACGATAGCGTTTACATTTGTGGCACCACCAAAAGCTCTTCTTGGTATAGAGACCATGGGACATCTAGGTCTCATCTACAATGTCTTCCTAACTGGCTTGGAGATGAACCTAGACGCTATCCTGCTAGCAAGAAGAATGGCCACAACCATTGCTATGGTTAGCACCATCATTCCAATGTTATTAGGAGCTGCAATATATTCTATGGCTCAAGCTCTCTACAAGGGTCCTAACCTTGACATGTCACTTTACAACACACCTAGTGCATATTTATTCTGGGCTTTGGTCCTCAGTGTCACAAACTTCCCTGTCCTCGCTCACATTCTTGCTGATCTTAAGATCCTCTATACAGAGCTAGGTAGATTGGCTGTAACTGCAGCCACAATAAGCGACTTCTACAATTGGGCAATGTTTGTGTTGCTCATCCCATTTGCTTGTCATAGTCAAAGACCCTTTCTCTCGGTGATATTAACCATTTTCTTTATGCTCTTCTGCTACTTGGTGTTGCGCCCATTCCTTACCAAGTTGTTGAATAAGGAAACAGAAAATAATGAGTGGGACAATTACAAGTTATCGTATGTTCTGGTTGGTGTTTTGGCTTGTGCACAAGTGACTGAAATTCTAGGTACACATTCCGTTGTTGGAGCGTTGGTGTATGGATTGATGCTTCCTCGTGGAAAATTTACTGACATGTTGATCGAAAGGTCAGATGATCTTGTCTCCATGTACCTGGAACCGTTGTTCTTTGTTGGCTGTGGCATAAGATTCGACTTTTCTAGTTTTAAACTGCACAAAGTTCTTAACGTGATCATAATTATTGTCATGTCATGCTTCACTAAGATTGTGAGCACTGTAATAACTGCATGGTTCTATGGCATGCCTTTTCGAGACGGTGTGGCACTTGGAGCACTTTTGAACACCAAAGGCATCTTGCCGTTAGTAATGCTAAACATTGCAATTGACAGACAGGTATTAGTCATAGTTTAACAAGCATTTGTCTATGTTCTTTCTCTCTCTCTCTCTCTATATATATATATATACTCACAGACNATGTTGATCGAAAGGTCAGATGATCTTGTCTCCATGTACCTGGAACCGTTGTTCTTTGTTGGCTGTGGCATAAGATTCGACTTTTCTAGTTTTAAACTGCACAAAGTTCTTAACGTGATCATAATTATTGTCATGTCATGCTTCACTAAGATTGTGAGCACTGTAATAACTGCATGGTTCTATGGCATGCCTTTTCGAGACGGTGTGGCACTTGGAGCACTTTTGAACACCAAAGGCATCTTGCCGTTAGTAATGCTAAACATTGCAATTGACAGACAGGTATTAGTCATAGTTTAACAAGCATTTGTCTATGTTCTAGCTCTCTCTCTCTCTCTCTCTCTCTCTCTTTATATATATATATACTCACAGACACATTATTTTCAGTAAGATAATACTGAAGTGCATGTTATTTTCAGATTTTGAGTAGGGATTTCTATACAATCATGGTTGTGGCCAGTGTTGTGATGACCATACTAGTGACTCCGACAATCAACTTCATATACAAGCCAAGAAAGCAGTTTAAGAAAAACAAGCTGAGGACTGTGCAAAACTTGAAGGCTGATGCAGAAATCAGAATTATGGTCTGCGTTCACAACCCTCGCCATGCCACAGGAATGATGAGCATTCTCGAAGCATGCAGTTGCGCCAATGCCACCCATCTACGCGTGTTTGCTCTTCAACTCATTGAGCTGAAAGGACGTGGCACTGCCTTTCTGATAGACGAGGGCGGTGGTTCCCAACAATCACAAGCAGACACTGAGAGCATCAGAGATATCTTCTCAGAGTTCAAACTAGAACGAGGGCTCACCAACGCTAGCGTGGAGACTCTCGCTGCAGTGTCCTCCTATGAGACCATTCACAAGGACATCTACAACATAGCTGACGAGAGACAGACGTCCTTGATTCTCCTTCCGTTCCACAAACATTCAGGCGTGGAGGGTGCCCTAGAGGAGACAAACCCTGTGTTCAGAGAGATAAACAGAAATGTGATGCGCTATGCACCATGTTCTGTGGGAATCTTGGTTGACCGTGGACACAGGTTACCGTCTGAGATGAACATGTATGTTGCCATTGTCTTCATTGGAGGGCCTGATGACCGTGAAGCCTTGGCTATTGCTTGGAGAATGGCAAGGCATAAAAGGATTCATCTCTCAATGGTAAATATTCTTCTGTTTGGAAAGGTTGCTGAAGTGGATACAAGTGAAACAATCAATGATGAAGCCAACGGGATACTGTCCCCTATGTTGGACAGTGTAAGGGAAAAGGAGTTGGACGAGGAGTATATGAGTTTGTTCAGACTCATGGCAGTGAACAATGAGCATTCCGTAACTTATTCAGAGAAGGAAGTGCACACTGCTGATGATATTCCGTTGGTTCTGGATGAATTGGAAAGGGAGGGCTATGATTTGTATGTTCTAGGGCATGGAAAAAGAAGGAACTCTACGGTGCTGTCAAAATTGTTAGAATGGACTGATTGTCCTGAACTTGGGGTTATGGGGGACATGCTTGCATCGAATACTTTGGGTTCATGCTCTTCGGTGCTTGTGGTGCAACAGTATGGGTTTGGAGGTATGAACTTGAGGTCTATTAACCAAACCACATGTGAAAGCAATGATGACGACATTGAAGCAATTTTTAAGGTCAAGAGCATCAAATATAATTGGTGAAGTAAGATCTCATGGATATGAGTTTTCAAATCAAATGGAATGGATTAAGTAGTGAGTGATTAAGGAAACTGCAAAGAGGGTCATGCAGCATGAGCTAACCAAGAAATTAATCCAAAGCTTCAAATATATATATATGCACGTGAAAGGGGAGTTCTTGTAATGGCTAGATGCCCCATATTGAGACGAAAATGTTCATGTTAATCCACCAAACAATTATCTTGTGGAGAAACGTGTGGATAGTTTGTACTTCTAGTTATAAACATATAAATTTCTAGACCTGTGGAACATCACTTTCAACTCATTTCATGCCATAAGAATGGCAAAATCTTTTAAAACAGATGTAAATTAGTTATATTTTTGGGTAAATTTCAGTGATTGTTTCTTTAATATTTATAGTATTATTTTATAACTAAAATATAGTTTTGTTTCGATAAGTAGCATAAGTTGGTGCTAAAGGTTGGGATTATCAACATGGAACTTTAGGTTTAATTGAAAACACTTCTTATACTCCAAGAACTTAAATAGTAAAGTCATAGATAAGTAGGTTGTGTGTTAAAGGGCAAATAAAAAAATTTTAGGACATATAAAGGAAAGAGGTAAGGTGAGTTTGAAGGAGAAAATAAAATCTCTTACGAGGGACTTAAAGGTTTGGAATAAAGAGGTGTTTGGATGTGAACCAAGGAAAGCATAACCTAATCCAAAAAATAACTGAGTCAGATAAATTAGATGAGGAAAATGAACTATATGAAAGCAGTAAGTGTGTGACAAATACCTTCCACAACAAAAGAAAATCACCAAACGCTTCACATCATTCGTAACACTCATACCTACTACAAAGAAACCCAACAACTAGATGAATACATACCCATTTTCTTGGTTAGAAGCATATGCGAGATCTTGTTAAAAGTCTTATTAAATAGGTTAAAGAAAGGGCTTAGTAGGGTGATAGATAAGTCGCAATCAACTTTTACTGTGGGTAGAGGGTTCTAGATGGCGTGCTGGTTGTAAATGAAATTGTGGATGAAGTAAGATACAAAAGGAGAAAATGTGTTATCATCATAGTAGATTTCAAAAAAGGAGTATGATCGACTCACTTAGGTGGGATAGACTTGGATTTTTTTTCAAAATGGATCATATGGATAAAGGACTGAGTCAACAACAATATCAATATATGTGCTCATTAATGGTAATCCCACGAAGGAATTCAATGCAACTAAAGGTCTAAGATAAGAAAATCCTATAGCACACCTGATAGTTGTTGAAGGTCTATCATGTATAATAAGACAAAAAAATAAGAAAATAAATGCTAGATAGGGTCAAAGTGGAGACAAATAAGATAGAAGTAAATATGCTATTATTTGAGGATGAAACTATATTCCTATGTGAAGCAACAAACCAAAACATATTAGTAGTGAAATGTATCCATTAGTGTTTCGAGGTTGCATCGGGTCTCAAGATAAATTTTTCAAAAAGTAAACTAGAGAGAATGAAAGTAGAAAGAGATAATTTAGAAATATTCTTACGAATGTCAAAGTGTAAAACTAGGAGCATCCCATTGAAAGATATAACCTGTCATTAAAGCATTCAAATTAATGCTATTTAATTGTTAAGACTAAAAATAAT